TGTCAATTTATGACTTTTACTACATGTATGGTCAAAATTTCAGGTCATTCATTGCTGAGTGGTTGTTTACAATGAATCCAGCTCAGACTTCAGGAACTTCACCAAGATATTCAGATGTTGGACGCTGTCAACTTAAATCCTATCAATCCAGAGACACACGATTCACTTCATCATCCACATTGTTTGAGTCACCAAGGTTTGAACAGGACTTTTGCACCGATCTGTAATTACTAGAGGAGTCTTTCTTGTCTTGCTTCTGAAGCTCAGCTTTATATTACAGCTGATTATTATCTCATTACCTGATTTAACTTATCACAGATACTGTATATTGTTGACCTGGTCTGAATCAGAGTCCCAGAAATAAAAGAAAATCCTTTCCCTACAATACTATGATATTTACATATGAAATTTACATATGAGAGACCTGGGTTCAATCCCCCTCTGTGACCCATCTGCCATTGTGTCCCTGAGCAAGACACCTAGTTGCTCCAGAGGTGTGCGACCTCTGACATAAAAAGCTTTGGATAAAAGCGACTTAATTTAAAGAAACTGTTTTAAAACTGGTAGTTTGAGTTATTATATATATTTCATAGTTTTATGTACAAGAAAACAATCATTAAAATGTTGCTTATTATTTACAACACCAGTGTAACAGCCTCCTCATTTAATCTTATTAATTTCACTGTATGCAGGATTTTATTTTTTTTTTTACTTTAGTGTCATCTAGTGGTAAAATTAAGACTGACATTGTGTCCCAGTTTGCTCCTCAGTCTCTGATTCGCCCTCTGTATTGGTGTTGCTCTTTGTCCCTTTCTCTAACTCCCTAGCGCTGCCATCCTCAAGCTCACTGTGTGAAAGTGAATTTAATAATGTCAGTTATAATGTAATAATGTCAATATTTTAGAAATACAGTGGTGAAATTACATGTTCTGAAGTTGAGCATGTCAGTCATGTTGATTGTTTATTGTTGGAACTTTCTCACTTTAAATGTTGCTGCTGCTAGAAATTGTGAGATGGAATGATCTCCTTGAGTTTTGTGAAGCACTGGTTCTCAAACTTTTTCATGTCAAGGACCCCCAAAACTGACTCACATTAGACGACGGACCCCCATTTGAGATCCCACCGTGACACACTGTGGGAGACAACACTACATGCCTTTTACCAAGACTACAGATATCATCAAAATAACTTGAAAGATGCAACAATCACATAGAATTTTACAAATAGCAAATTAACTTTAATGTGCTGAATATCTAGATACATTCATTTTCAATTTAAATCACCAAAAAAGCACAGTTTCCTGTGGTTTACTGATGTCTGCAATGATGTGTTGTAGAAAAATATGAGGGGTGGAGCTTTTTGTAATGACTAAAATAGAATGACACTAAAGCCTGAGATCATAACCTGACTGAGGATGTTCAGTCTGACCGTGATGCTTTTCTAATTCAGTTTTGTTAATGACTAATTATTATTGAACAAGGAGTGACTATAACAGTGTTAAAACAATGCAGGGGGGCTGTGATGGTGGGGGTGTGCTGTTTAAAATGACGGTGAGACATCAACGATCCAGCCCAGTTTGACAGTCCATCAGGTTAAAGGATCACAGGATCTGACAAAAGATCTGGAAAATGATCACAGCATCAATAGTTTAATTTGGTTGCACTGACTGTGAGATAAACAGCAGAAATACAGCGATCCAGTTACAAAGGAACGTCTGCTTGCTTGTGTTTCATTTGCCAACTCAGCTTCTTACCCGAAGACTTCCTTTAGCAGTCTGGCAAAAGCTGTTCCAGGTTTATCTTTTTGCCAGAGTACTCTGAAGGTGTTTTTTTTTTTTTCTGCCAACAAAACACTCAATAAAACAAGGCAAGGCAGATACTGCCACACGTTTTAATCTAATTCAGCCAAATAAACCTGATTAAACATGATAACATGTTTTATCAGCCATCAGCAGCAGTTTCATGTGGTTTTGTTCTATCGGTGGAGACTTAAGTGAGCCTGTGGTTTGCAACCTGTTGGTTTTAAATAGCTTTTCTGGTTAAGGGTGAGAATGTCTCATAGCCAGAGGGAGATAAAAAATAATAATAGTAAGAGACGTGTCAACATAGACCTCATCCACAGCCATCACTACTGTTGTTCCCACATTTCCATGTGAAGCTTTACAGCTTATTATTACAGCTTCTGTTTAAAAAGAGCTGTATCTCCTACCATTTAAATGCTGAACACTATCTGACAATGAAAAACTAAAAGGCCATTGTTCACTATCTGCTCAGCAGCAAACAGGAGACAGACACAGTTAGAGACTAACTGGTGAACACAGTCGAGCATTTAGCAGCTAAAGAGTCAAATCTTCTCTCAGGAGAGGTTCTAGCCCCAAAACAAAGCTAACAGAGAGAATACTGGACAGATGAATGACCACTCTGCTTTGCGAACAAGTTCATCTTGAAGGTGATAATATGTTAATGATGTTCATAGGTTGCTTCCACTGCCCTCCAACAGGGTCACACACAGGTCCAAAATACAAACGCACAAACAGGACCTCTACATGTCAGAGTGAGGGGGCTGCCACGCAGTCAGGCTCCCTGAGCAGTTAGGGGTTCAGGCTTTGCTCAGGTGAACCTTCAGCAGTGACCAGGAGGTGAAGTGGCACCTCTCCAGCTGCCAGTCTGAACTCCTTTTGACTGATCCGTGCTGGACGTGAACCGGAACCACCATCCGGTTCCCAAGATAAGACCCCACAGACTGAGCTACTGCTGCCCAAAGGTTTAACATCCACAGGTTTTAGGAGAAAAAAATTCTAATAAAATGTCTTTAGTTTGTTCCCTCAGTCACCTGTGCAGATACACAATTTATGATCTATGAAGTACGTAATTTACTTGATTAAAACCAGATCATGAATAATGATGAGGATGTACGCATTCACAGTTTGTAGTTTGCATAAGTTATAACTGTTGCACTGTGTCAGGGGACAGTACAAGTTTTCTCTCTCTCTCATTACAGTCATTTCCTATTTACTGTGTAATGAAGTGATGTATAAGGTGGGAGGAGATGTGGCTAAAACTTAAAGAAGAAAGATGAAAGGGGCAGGATAGAAAATTGAGGAGTAGTTTTTAGGTATCATAGATGTAAGTTCAGGAAATAGAGCTGTGCAGATACAGGAGACCAACCAACAAGGAGGATCTCAGCATCCAACAAAATGAAGATCTTTCTTCTTCTCTTCCTCTCACTGACGACAGGTAAAACGTTTGCTGCTATTGGACTACTGATCTTAGAGATTACACTTGTTACAGCTCTGCTTCTGAAATAATTAACAGGTTGGTCTGGTTTGGGTTATTCTCATTTTGTATTAGTTTAATATAATACAGCCTCAATACAGTGCTCTGAAATCGGTCTCAGCCTCAAAATCCAGTTCTGGTCGAGCTATAAGAGAATTATTTATCGTTTTGTGAACAAATGTTACAGCAGGATTGTAAACAACAGTACAGTCATGGTAAGAGAATAAACAATAACAAGGTGTCTTTGAGGCGGTGTGGCTAAAAGACAAATTCATGTCTGCAAAATGTTCACTGACAACATTTCATGTGGGGTTTTTTAAATAGCCAGCTCCCTTGTGATGTTATCTCGTAGCATCTAAAACACAAGATCAGTATATAAACAATTTCACTAGAAAGGACCATGCCACAACAATATGTCATTTAAAGGTTTAATGAATCTGAATGAACAGAGGAAATTGTTCTTTAGCTCAAATTAGTTAGTCTTCAGAGAAAAAAACTAAATAAAAAACATAAACAAAATCAGCTTTTCAGACAGGATATTTTAGGCTGTTCACGTGTTGCTTTAGATTTAGGTTTAGACTCCACTTTCAGCAATGCACTTACGTGTTTGTATAGCCCCTCCTGTGGGCGCTCAAAAGTGGATTGTAAACAGATGATGAATGACAGAATATTAACAATTGCAATTATATAAAATCTTTCTTTAAATAAGAAAAAATGTAATTGCTGACAGATACTATTAAAATGTCCTCATAGCAGCTTACGACTACATTAAGTGTGTTATAAACCATGTATTCAATATTTGTATACTGCTTATAATTGGTAGAAGGAGCTCAAATTAAAGTGCTTAATTATTAATTAAAATGTGCTTCACAATTATCTAACAGGTGGGTAACTTTAATAACTTGTAATAATATAACATTATGTGTGTAAAAGTAAAGGTCAAAATCATTTAATTAAAGAAACGTGCAACTGAGCATTGAATGTCTGTGATCCACTGATTCAAAGAGCTGTCTGCTGACAGATCCTGCAAATGTATACAAGAAACAGTGTTTGTTGCATTAACAGAAAGCTAATTCAGATGAATGATGTCACATCGTTTCAGTGTCTAACATGATGTGAACTTTTGTCTTTGATCTACAGGTTGTGAGGCCTTGTCTGAAGTGAAGGGATGTGCATCAGGATGGGTTGAATTCACCTGCAAATATCCAAAACCAAATGTAAAATATCAAAGTATTGATGTAGTTTCTCCCAAAGAAATCATACGAAGCTCTGAGAAGGATGTGTGGGAAAACAAAGGCAGAGTTTCCCTGTACCATGATCCAAAAAATACAAATCTCAGAGTGGCCATTAAACAACTTGAACGTGAGGACTTGGGGACTATCAGTGTAAATTTCACCAACGATCGTACTCATCCCAGGACACAGAGGAAGTGAAACTTGGCGTTGGTAAGAGACACTTACTTTTTATTCAAATCCATTCTTTGGAGCTAGCATAGTATTTTAACTCAAATTTCACATTCAGTAGAGTCACTTTCTATTTTAAGTCATCATCTACTTACATAACCAAAATTGAAATCAATTTGCCATAAAGATCATATTCCAATACATACTGTATGAGTGTAGTGATGTGCATTTCAATCATGTGTTAGCACAGTATCTCAGTTTCACATTTGATATTTCTTGTTTATTTGCAGAGACAGACGGCTGCCAGGGACAATTTATCAAACTGCGTACAGAACAGCTAAAACCACCATCACATGTGATTACACAGGAAACAAATACAAGTTCTTCTGCAAACAGAACGGTTCAATCTGTGAGGATATTTTATCAACAAAATCCTCTCTGAAGTCAAACGGGACATTCACTCTCACAGAAACCAACAGTAGCTTCAGCGTGTCCATCAGTAACGTGTCCTCACATGATGCTGGTGTCTACTGGTGTGGAGTGGAAACACATGAAGGAAGTTACAGAGCTGCTCTCAGAAAGATACAGCTGGAGGTTGAAGGTGAGCAGCACACATCTGACACTTTGAGCTTTGATCTACTCATACAGAAAATTAAGTGTCTGTCTGTCTCTCTACAGCTAAAATTACTAACTTCACCAAGTTTCCAAATATTGGACAGAATCTCACATTCGGGTGTCGATATCGAAATGATGCTCCGATTAACAAATTCATCTGTAAGGGAGAAGATCCATCTATATGTCAACCTGTAGTCAGCAATTGCATGCATAGTGAATAAATAAAGCCATCATCATTGGATCAGCAATACTATGATTCACCATGGCAAAAGAAGCAGTGACAGAATCTGAGTTGGCGTGAATAAAGAGTCCCTAAGTTACAGTTTAAGTTTTATAATGAACCACAGTTGTTAGTTTGTTAGTTTCTCTGTGGTAAAGAGCAAAACATTTGGCAGCATCAGACCTTTTTCACAGAAGACATTTTTACATCACAGTAGGAAAAATACAGGTGTAAATAATAAAATGAATGAGGGCTGAATTCCATTTAGCTGCTGCAGTTTCAGGGTCCTGATATTGTTCATGCTGACTCACTGTCATGACTATAACAGAGCCATTGTTAATGTTATTATTAACACTGTGCTTTCCTGCCATCAAACAGATAAGACAGTCACTGTCATAATAATGACTTTAGGGTTGCAGTTGATTGATAGTTTATTGTTTCATGATTGATGATTGACATTGCATGTGATATACAATTTCAGTCACTGTCAACTGAAACAGTAAAAAAAACTTTTTGGTTTCAGTTAAAAAGACACAACTGAGTTAATATTTTTTCTTTCTAATCTATTTTCTATTTTTACTTAGCAATCCTGGCAAGAGCATCCTATTACTCAATTATGGCAAAAAATCATAATCACTTATTGACTAATAATATTGAGATTGTGATTAATTAACACGATTAGTCAATGATTTGGGGAGTTTGCATGCTCTCCCCGTGTCCGCGTGGGTTCTGTCCGGGTGCTCCGGCTTCCTCCCACCATCCAAAGAAATGCAGGCTGGGTTAATTGGTGTCTCCGAAATTGTCCTTAGGTGTGGATGTGATTGGTGTCTGTCTATGTGTGGCCCTGAGATGGACTGGTGACCTGTCCAGGGTGTACCCCGCCTTTCGCCCGATGTAAGCTGCATTGGCTCCAGCTCCCCGCGACCTGTTTGCAGGAGAAGCGGTTGACGATGGATGGATGACCTTTTTGAAAAAAAAGGATCTTCTTGAACTTTGAATTTTCTCTAACTCATTCAGTATAAAACGTGCTTTGTGACCAGATCTGTCTGATCTGGGCATGTTACCACACAGTTGTTTACTGTCATATGCTTAAGGCTCTTTTCTAACTTATTTGCACCAGTCTTTGGGACTGTCACAGTGTGTAACAACCGTCAAACAGCTGAATTGTTTTTTCCTTACTTGCTCTTGATCAAAAGCGCTCCACCCTTCATCTTGGCCCGAGCTGAACATATAGGTCACATAACACTGGATTATAAACACAAGTCAAAGCGAGAGCATCATTGCGAAAAAGAATGTCTCACAAAAATTATTTTACCTAGATTATTTTGTTTTCATAATTGAAAATTGCAGAAGAAATCAGAACCTTTATAGTGTATGTGAAGAAGCAATTAAGCTGAAACTCATTAAGCCTTATAATTTGCTTTGTTAAAAAAACATTTGACTTTTTTTTCAAATGGCTGTGAAATCCTGATGCTGCTTAATACTTGTTTTAAGTTCCTGCACTTCTTCAGAGCAGCGTTCTGCAGTGATGTGACAGCAGAACTTCATCAGCTACAACTAAAACCCAAGTGATCAATTCATAAACAGATTTAGTGTTGAGTGTTTCACTATGCATGTTTTTAAGGTTAATTAACATTCTGATCTCTAAGGGTTATTCTGTCTGTTCTCTTCACAAATTTAATTGTTTTCTTTTTCAGTATCACCAGCAGTATCACCAGCAGTATCACCAGCAGTATCACCAGCAGTATCCACATCTCTGTTTTTTTCAACCCAGTCAACTACTGCATCTGCAGAGAGTCCTGGTAAGAGAGCACGTTTGACTTCTTAAATCTTCTGCTAGAGAAGAGCGGGGGGGGTTAAAATGAAATTTCTATAAACGTCCACTTACATTTTGTCAACACAGACAGCTGTGGATGATAATGACCCATGTTAAAAAAAATAATTGTGGTTTATTTTGCAGGTGGCCCTGACGTCGTCATCACTGTGATCGTCTGTGTAGCTGTGCTGCTGCTGCTGTTTGTGCTGATTTTGATCCTAATCTACGCATGTAAGAGTTATTACCAGTTTGCAGAAGAAACACTCACATTTAAACATAAAACCACATTAACAACAGCTCCACCCTGTGTGGAGGTGAGGACTAACAAGGCCAAAGAAGACACTCTATATCGTTTGTAGTGACTAACATGACTTCTTTTTCATGTCTTGAAGTTAATGGACACAATGTTTTTATACAAAGAAAGGAAAAACTTCACTTATTTGCCAGACTTACAAGAGGAAACAAATAATTATAAATTTGTTGTAAAACAGAATTTCACAAAGTATAAACTTTCATTTTCCCCAACTCACCAGCATGAGTCTGGTGCGAATTAGCCTCCACCTGAAATTACTCATGCGCAGTTTAGGAGAGATCCAATCTCAATGAGGATAACAAGAAAACAAGAAAAAAATACCAGGTGTAAACAAAGGCAAGATCCGATGGTTAAAGTAACATTATATAAAATTTGTTTTTTGCGAGATTTGGTGTCAGTACTGTTGTGGAAATTACATCACAGTAGGAATATAAGGAGTATAGGAGAGGAAAGGTTAAGGATAAACACATATATATCTATAAGACATAGCAATAATATTAATAATAATAAAAAAAAAACAGCCGCATGGACCCAAGGACCATGAATCTGAGATAAATGGATAGAGGTCCTCAGGAATATGTTTTAAGTTGCTACCAGCCATGTTTCAGTGCGTTATGGGAATAATAATGTCGCTTTAAGGCTTAAAGTTAAAGGCTTAAAGAGGTAGTGTCTCAATTTGATAAAAATTGGTGAAATTAATCCATTTATGTCCTTCTGCTTTTTTACTCAGCTATTGTTATCTTACTTTTGCTTCTTCCAGGATTTTCACCTTTAAAGAACACAAGAAATGGAGCAGCAGCACAGCACAAAAAGGTCAGTGTATAAATACAACTGTCCTCTACAGAAAAAAAAATAACCGTATAAATAAGCGACCTCTAGTGGCAGTACAATGCAAACACATTAAGCATCGACTGGTATTTATTTTTTTGGGCCGACCGATGACTGATATGTGGAACCGTTATACATTTGCTGTAAAATTTTTAATCTTGGTGTCAAAATTTTGAATAACACAAACTCCAACACAAAACTTTGTTGAAAATAACAAGATTAAAGTTAATTGTCATGTTTAATCTTTAAAATAATAAATTAAATGAATTAGAGATCCATCCCAGAGATGGACTACTATAACTGAAAAATTATCATAAACTTTTCCTTTACCACCTGCTATTTATATTATAATATGTGTGATGTGCTGCAAGTAGGCAAGTTAATTTTACTAAATGTAAAAATGTCACCACAAAGTGTAGGATAGGCTCTGCATGAAGACATTTACATTTATTAATTTAGCTGACGCTTTTATCCAAAGCAGCTTGCAATTGCTCTATATGTCAGAGGTCGCACGCCTCTGGAGCAACTAGGGGTTAAGAGTCTTGCTCAGGGACACATGGTGTTTCACAGTGGATCTGAACCCAGGTCTCTCACATGAAAGGAATGCATCTTATCCACTCCCCATCACCACCCCAGGGTTAAAGAGCAGAGGTGGTGGTGTTTTACCCAACCCCCCCAGCACTGTGATAGAACGGCTGGGTAAGAAGTGACATTGACGAGCGCTGCGTTGAGCTCCAAGCTGAACATTTTTTCACTCTCGGTGACCGGAAAAAAACACTCAGCGCCCAGCGCTTGCCTCTCAACAAGCGGCTTTGCAAGGAGCTAGTAAATTTTAAGATACGTATCATCTCAGCTAAACAGGCTACAACCAGCTAACTTCGTAGTTTCAGGGTTAGCTAGTTAGCTAACCATATTAGGCTGCGTTCAAAAAGTCAAGAATAATCTTCTTTCCTAACCACCTTTCTTTGACCTCGATGGAAAACGTCATGAGGTCAAAGAAAGAGTGTCCGCCATCTAAAGGCGGACATCACGGTGGATGGTACATAGCAAAAAGGCAGATAGGGTAACAGTTACCAAATAATGGACAGGGTGTTTCCCACAGAATGACAGCGTAAGGTGAGAGAGAGAGAGAGAGAGAGAGAGAGAGAGAGAGAGAGAGAGAGAGAGCGACTGTGCAGAAGGGGTGCTGAGCGAATAGCCTAGTATATGCTCTGCCCGCAGAACTGTGATCTAAATCGATTTTACCCATAGCCTAATAAAAAACAACAATAATCGAAATACTTCCAGGTCACTTGACTCAGTTAGGAACCTTCCTAAGCAAAAAAGACGCAGCCCTAGTCTTAAAGGCGTTGACAGAACCCCGTAGATCCCAAACCTCATCCTGACCTTCACAGTCAGTGATTGTATGTATGTTGAATGGTAAACCCAACAGCTGTGTAGGTAGGGTTTGCCTCCTTTGTGTCACTCCACGTGTTTATGTCATGTGACTTAGATCATGTGATTTCCAAAACGCTCCTTTGAGTCTTATTTGGATATTGGTAAAAACAACCTATGTTGTCGTTTAGGTTTGAGGACTTGTTGGTATATATGAATGTTTGTGTGTGTGTGGTACTGTATAGGTTGAATAGATATTGCTGGAATAATTGTGCAAAAGCTGGATCACTCAAGTATGAGTGTTAAAAGAATAAGAAAGAACTTCTGGGACTCTCATTTCATAGAAAAAACAATATAAATTAATATTGACCAACAAGGATGCAGCGTTTTCACTGTTTCAGTGACTGAATCTCCCTTTTTGCTACGTGTGGAGATCCTGTTGTGTTTGTTATGAATATTTTACCTACAGTGGTCAAATTTAGATGCAGGAGCACTACCACCTCTGATAACCAACTGGCACACACATTTCTTCCCTGTTTCTTCCCTGTTGCCTCTGAACAGAAACCAAGGAGGATAACTTGTAAACAAAACTCTCCCTATAAAGTATTATACTGTTACCACGAGATAATTATCAAAAAACCACTGCAGACTACAATGGGAAATATGTTACTGTATGATATAATGTATGTGGGAATGTTTTAAAACTTTAATTATTTAAACAATATTATTAAAAGCTATTGTTCTTTAAAATTGTATTTATTTAATATCAGTTACTCAGACTCAGTTCTTATTATATGGATTTTATATGATTTTTTCAGACTGTATTTTTCATTCTGGTAGGATCATGTCTATGAGGAGATACAGCAGACGCCAAACTCAGGAAATAAGATGAACACGATTTATGCCACTGCCAACTTTCCCACAAACCCCTCTGCCTCGCTGCATTACTCCAGCATCAACTTCCAAACAGCTGTGACAGAGTTGGTGGTGAGGCAGTGATCCTCAAACCCAGCTCTGCTGCCTACGAATATTCTACTGTGAAGCAAAATCCAGCCTACTGTACAGTCAGCCAGCCGTCCAGCTCTTCAGAGGATCCTCTCTACACAACAGTCAACATGCCACAGCAGCACTGAGCAAAGATCAGCCCTGTCAATTTATGACATTTACTACATGTAGGTCAAAATTTCAGGTCATTCATTGCTGATGTGGTTGTTTACAATGAATCCAGCTCAGACTTCAGGAACTTCACCAAGATATTCAGATGTTGGACGCTGTCAACTTAAATCCTATCAATCCAGAGACACATGATTCACTTCATCATCCACATTGTTTGAGTCACCAAGGTTTGAACAGGACTTTTGCACCGATCTGTAATTACTAGAGGAGTCTTTCTTGTCTTGCTTCTGAAGCTCAGCTTTATATTACAGCTGATTATTATCTCATTACCTGATTTAACTTATCACAGATACTGTATATTGTTGACCTGGTCTGAATGAGAGTCCCAGAAATAAAAGAAAATCCTTTCCCTACAATTCAGTGATATTTTTATGTGAAATTTACATATGAGAGACCTGGGTTCAATCCCCCTCTGTGACCCATCTGCCATTGTGTCCCTGAGCAAGACACCTAGTTGCTCCAGAAGCGTGCAACCTCTGACATAAAAAGCTTTGGATAAAAGCGACTTAATTTAAAGAAACTGTTTTAAAACTGGTAGTTTGAGTTATTATATTACATATTTCATAGTTTTATGTACAAGAAAACAATCATTAAAATGTTGCTTATTATTTACAACACCAGTGTAACAGCCTCCTCATTTAATCTTATTAATTTCACTGTATGCAGGATTTATTTTATTTTTTTACTTTAGTGTCATCTAGTGGTAAAATTAAGACTGACATTGTGTCCCAGTTTGCTCCTCAGTCTCTGATTCGCCCTCTGTATTGGTGTTGCTCTTTGTCCCTTTCTCTTACTCCCTAGCGCTGCCATCCTCAAGCTCACTGTGCCAAGAAAGTGAATTTAATAATGTCAGTTATAATGTAATAATGTCAATATATTTAGAAATACAGTGGTGAAATTACCGTGTTCTGAAGTTGAGCATGTCAGTCATGTTGATTGTTTATTGTTGTGAACTTTCTCACTTTAAATGTTGCAGCTGCTAGAAATTGTGAGATGGAATGATCTCCTTGAGTTTTGTGAAGCACTGGTTCTCAAACTTTTCATGTCAAGGACCCCCAAAACTGACTCACATTAGACGACGGACCCCCATTTGAGATCCCACCGTGACACACTGTGGGAGACAACACTACATGCCTTTTACCAAGACTACAGATATCATCAAAATAACTTGAAAGATGCAACAATCACATAGAATTTTACAAATAGCAAATTAACTTTAATGTGCTGAATATCTAGATACATTCATTTTCAATTTAAATCACCAAATAAGCACAGTTTCCTGTGGTTTACTGATGTCTGCAATGATGTGTGTAGAAAAATATGAGGGGTGGAGCTTTTTGTAAGTGACATAAAATAGAATGACACTAAAGCCTGAGATCATAACCTGACTGAGGATGTTCAGTCTGACCGTGATGCTTTTCTAATTCAGTTTTGTTGAATGACTAATTATTATTGAACAAGGAGTGACTATAACAGTGTTAAAACAATGCAGGGGGGCTGTGATGGTGGGGGTGTGCTGTTTAAAATGACGGTGAGACATCAACGATCCAGCCCAGTTTGACAGTCCATCAGGTTAAAGGATCACAGGATCTGACAAAAGATCTGGAAAATGATCACAGCATCAATAGTTTAATATTTGGTTGCACTGACTGTGAGATAAACAGCAGAAATAAGAAATACAGCAATCCAGTTACAAAGGAACGTCTGCTTGCTTGTGTTTCATTTGCCAACTCAGCTTCTTACCCGAAGACTTCCTTTTGCAGTCTGGCCCAAAGTTGTTCCAGGTTTATCTTTTTGCCAGAGTACTCTGAAGGTGTTTTTTTTTTTTTCTGCCAACAAAACACTCAATAAAACAAGGCAAGGCAGATACTGCCACACGTTTTAATCTAATTCAGCCTTATTAAACCTGATTAAACATGATAACCTGTTTTTATCAGCCATCAGCAGCAGTTTCATGTGGTTTTGTTCTATCGGTAGAGACTTAAGTGAGCCTGTGGTTTGCAACCTGTTGGTTTTAAATAGCTTTTCTGGTTAAGGGTGAGAATGTCTCATAGCCAGAGGGAGATAAAAAAACAATAATAATAGTAAGAGACGTGTCAACATAGACCTCATCCACAGCCATCACTACTGTTGTTCCTACATTTCCGTGTGAAGCTTTACAGCTTATTATTACAGCTTCTGTTTAAAAAGAGTTGTATCTCCTACCATTTAAATGCTGAACACTATCTGACAATGAAAAACTAAAAGGCCATTGTACACTATCTGCTCAGCAGCAAACAGGAGACAGACACAGTTAGAGACTAACTGGTGAACACAGTCGAGCATTTAGCAGCTAAAGAGTCAAATCTTCTCTCAGGAGAGGTTCTAGCCCCAAAACAAAGCTAACAGAGAGAATACTGGACAGATGAATGACCACTCTGCTTTGCGAACAAGTTCATCTTGAAGGTGATAATATGTTAATGATGTTCATAGGTTGCTTCCACTGCCCTCCAACAGGGTCACACACAGGTCCAAAATACAAACGCACAAACAGGACCTCTACATGTCAGAGTGAGGGGGCTGCCACGCAGTCAGGCTCCCTGAGCAGTTAGGGGTTCAGGCTTTGCTCAGGTAACCTTCAGCAGTGACCAGGAGGTGAAGTGGCACCTCTCCAGCTGCCAGTCTGAACTCCTTTTGACTGATCCGTGCTGGACGTGAACCGGAACCACCATCCGGTTCCCAAGATAAGACCCCACAGACTGAGCTACTGCTGCCCAAAGGTTTAACATCCACAGGTTTTAGGAGAAAAAAATTCTAATAAAATGTCTTTAGTTTGTTCCCTCAGTCACCTGTGCAGATACACAATTTATGATCTATGAAGTACGTAATTTACTTGATTAAAACCAGATCATGAATAATGATGAGGATGTACGCATTCACAGTTGTAGTTTGCATAAGTTATAACTGTTGCACTGTGTCAGGGGACAGTACAAGTTTTCTCTCTCTCTCATTACAGTCATTTCCTATTTACTGTGTAATGAAGTGATGTATAAGGTGGGAGGAGATGTGGCTAAAACTTAAAGAAGAAAGATGAAAGGGGCAGGATAGAAAATTGAGCAGTAGTTTTTAGGTATCATAAGATGTAAGTTCAGGAAATAGAGCTGTGCAGATACAGGAGACCAACCAACAAGGAGGATCTCAGCATCCAACAAAATGAAGATCTTTCTTCTTCTCTTCCTCTCACAGACGACAGGTAAAACATTTGCTGCTATTGGACTACTGATCTTAGACATTACACTTGTTACAGCTCAGCAAGTAGAGCAATGACTTCACAGTTAAGATGTCTCACTCAGTAAAGCTTGGTCACAAAAACACAAATTTTTTTTTAAAGTATTTTACATGATGAAAAATAATCGACATCCATTTTTGTAAACACTGAAATTGATCTCAGCCTCAAAATCCAGTTCTTTCAGGCTATAAGAGAAATATTTTAAGTCTGAAAGGATATTTATAGTTTTATGTACAAATGTTAGAGCAGGATTGTGAGGAACAGTACAGTAATGGTGGAAGAAAAAGCTTTTCAGACATGATATTTCAGGGGGTTCAGGAGTTGATGACTGTAGACGCCACTTTCAGCAATAATATTATCAACGTGTTTGTATAGCCCCTCCTGTGGGTGTCCATCAGTGGAGGCTGGTAAATAAACAAATGAATGACAGTTTATTTTTACATTTAAATGTCTTCAAAAAAGTAATAATTGCTGACATTAAAATTGCTAAATTAAAATCTCAGGGTGGCCATTAAACTAACAGAACATGAGGACTTTGGGAAGTACACCAGTAAATTTGACAATCGACTTTTACAACCCAATGCACATCTAATGAATTAAATGAAATTTCAGAAACATATTCTCTCTTTGCTTTTTATGTATCGAGGCATAACTGATTTAATTCAGCTTTCATACTGTACATGTAAAGTGTGGTGCCACTACTCTAAATTATTTTGCTTCCACATCCAGTAGAGAAATCAATTTGCCATGAAGATCAGATTCCAAAAAAAGCAGATGTAACACTCTCCCCACTCATCACCAATGTAAGCAACTCCTCATTGTCCGTTGGACTCGACCCCGACACCCTGAACAACTGCAGGCCCATCTCCATCATTCTTTCTCTGTCCACAATCCATGAGCGAGTTGTCGATACTCACTCAAACTGCCCTACTTAAAATCACCCAATGACATACTTCCTCTGACTCTGGGTTCCTCACCATCCCCTATCTCCATGCTATCTTTCAAACAGACCCTCAAAACCCACCTATTCAAGACTGCATTCTCCGGTTCTGTCCTTCCCCTCTCTCCCTCCTTTTCTTTTTTAACCAGTTACTTTTATTTTTCGCCCTGTAAAGCGTATTTGAGTGTTTAGAATATTATCAATATCATTCACACCTTATGAGTGTGGTGACCACGTGTTAGCACAGCATTACTGTATTTTAATTCCGGTTTTACCTTTCTGAGAAAGACGGCTGTCAGAATCAATTTATACAAACTGCGTACAGAACAGCTAAAACCACCATCTCATGTGATCACACAGGAAACAAACACAAGTTATTCTGCAAACAGAACGGTTTAATCTGTGAGCTGAAGGTTAACTGTGAGCAGCACACATCTGACTCTTTTAGCTTTGATTTTCTCACGCAGATAATTAAAGTGTCTCTGAAATATGTTGTTAAATACAGTCACTGATACACACCAATGTCTTTCTGTCTGTGTCTCTACAGCTTCTATTACTAACTTCACCACGTTTCCAGCTGTTGGACAGAATCTCACATACTGGTGTCGATTTCCAAATTATACTCTGATAAACAAATTCATCTGTAAGGGAGAAGATCCATCTATATGTAAACCTCTATTAAGCACACAGCACAACAAGACCATTGGGAGGTTTTCTATGCAGGAGGAACAAGATAAGAGAAAGATCACCATAACAGTGAGAAACGTAACAACAGACGACACTGGGACATACTGGTGTGGAGCAGAAACCACTGACAAAACACGCAGATACAAATTCTTCGAAAAGCTGGTGATGACTGTAGGTGAGTGATGTTGTTTTATTGTGTGGATGTAATCTGATCCTGGTTCAGATTGTAGGAGGGTAATAGTTGGATGACAAGCATGAAAAGAAAGCTATAGTAATTATTGATTACTGCTGGACTCTTATTTCATCTTATAAAGTTATTTTAATAAATATTGGTCTGTAGAGTTTCAGGGTCCTGTTCCAGAAAGCTGGTTTAACCCAACTGACCATCAGTTGTATCAGCTCTGAGTATGTTAACCTCATATTACATGCATGATGAATAACTAAAGCCATCATCAATTGATCTGCAATCCAATGATTCACCATGGCGACGGGTAAAGCTAAAGAAGTAGTGAGAGAATCAGTTATTTTCTCTGTGGTAAAGTGCAAAACACTTGGCAACAATTGACCTTTTCACAAAAGACATTTTTACATCACAGAAGGAGAAACACAGGTGTAAACAATAAAATACATGAGGGCTGAATTCCATTTAGCTGCTGCAGTTTCAGGGTCCTGATATTGTTCATGCTGACTCACTGTCATGACTTACTGTTAGACTTGAATATAACAGAGCCATTGTTAATGTTATTATGAACACTTGTGCTTTTCCTGCCATCAAACAGATAAGACATATTTCAGTCACTGTAAGCTGAAACAATAATAATGACTTTAGGGTTGCAGTTGAAAAGGCCCCTCAAAAACTGAGATAGTTTTATCTGTTTCATGTATTGATCTTGATTAAACAGCATCCTATTTCATCCATGTTTAAGCATGTAGTAGATTTTGAAATGCTGTTACAAAGGCAGTCAACTGGGATATCCTGTCACTGGCTGACTCAGTCTGCAGAAAGATATCTTGTTGCTATTTGTGCTCTTGTTTTCATTTCCTGCACTTCCATTTTCAGAGCAGCGTACTGCAGTGATGTGACAACAGAACTCTATCAGCAACGACTAAAACCCTTAACAAGTGATCAATTTTATTTACACAGATGTAGATACTTCACTTTTTAAGGATAGATGCACATTTTATCAATTCTTACAAATCAATACTCAGATTCCTGTATGTGCATTGAAAGTCTTACTGTTCACTGTTATTGTGACTAATACTAGCTGCAAAGAGATCATTTCCTAAAGGATGTGAGAATACATTTAGAAATTCAGCTGAAGCTATATGAGGTTCTGGGCTGGACAATTGTTTTTTACTCCGAGCCAGACAACCAACAACCACTCCTGGGTTTAGCTGTTCTTTAGCTCAAATTGATTCATTAGAATCTACATTTCAAACATGATATTTTAGGCTGTTCAAGTGTTCTTTTAGATTTAAATTTAAAAACCACTTCCAGCTAAAAACTTTTAATTAATGTGTTTGTATAGCCCCTCCTGTGGGCACTCAAAAGTAGAGGCTGCTAAACCGATGATGAGTGACTGTATGTTAAAACACAGTTGCAATTATATAAAATCTTTAAATAAGATATTATAATTGCTGACAGATACTGTCCTCATAGCAGCCTATAACTACATTATAGTGTGTTAAAAGAATGTATTAAATGTTTGTATACTGCTTCCAAGTGGTAAATATTGAGCTCAAAGTAAAGTTGCAATGTTGCATTGATAGAGAGCTAATTCAGATGACAGTCTGTCAAGTGTCATGTTGTGAACTTTTGTCTTTCAGGTCATGAGGTCTTGTCTAAAGTGAAGGGATGCCCAGTAGGATGGATTCAATTCACCTGCAAATATCCAAAACCAAATGTAACATATGAAAGTATTGATTTAGTTAATCCCAAAGAAACCATACGAACTGCTCTAAAGAATGTGTGGGAAAACAACGGCAGAGTTTTCCTGTACCATGATCCAAAAAAAAAAATCTCAGGGTGGCCATTAATAAAACTGAACGTGAGAACTTTGGGAAGTACACCTGTAAATTTAACCAACTACCTGACTCATGTGACACAGTGGAATTGGAATTGGACGTTGGTAAGAGGCACTCACTTTTTATTAAAATTAATTTATTGGATACATTGTTAACATCATTTATACACACACACACACACACACACACACACACACACACACACAGCTGGTTACAGATGTTGGTTATGAATTTCCAGACAATTTTGACTCTAATTCCACATTCAGTAGAGTCACTTTCTACAGTGAGGAAAATAAGTATTTGAACACCCTGCTATTTTGCAAGTTCTCCCACTTAGAAATCATCATCATTTTTTTTAGATTATGTCTCTCAGTGGACATGCACCTACGATGAAAATTTCCGACCCCTCCATGATTTCCAAGTGGGAGAACTTGCAAAATAGCAGGGGTTCAAATACTTATTTTCCTCACTGTATATCAAGTTATCATCTACTCAGATAAACAAAATGGAGATCAATTTGCAATAAAAGCAGATTTAACATGATTCACACTTTACTGTATGAGTGTGGTGATTTGCATTTCCATCATGTGTTAGCACATTATCACAGTTTCACATTTTACCTTTCTTGTTTATTTGCAGAGACAGACGGCTGCCAGGGACAATTTATTCAAACTGTGTACAGAACAGCTAAAACCACCATCACATGTGATTACACAGGAAACAAATACAAGTTCTTCTGCAAACAGAACGGTTCAATCTGTGAGGATATTTTATCAACAAAATCCTCTCTGAAGTCAAACGGGACATTCACTCTCACAGAAACCAAGAGTAGCTTCAGCGTGTCCATCAGTAACGTGTCCTCACGTGATGCTGGTGTCTACTGGTGTGGAGTGGAAACACATGAAGGAAGTTACAGAGCTGCTCTCAGAAAGATACAGCTGGAAGTTAAAGGTGAGCAGCACACATCTTTTAGCTTTGATTTTCTCACACAGATAATTAAAGTGTCTCTGAAATATGTTGTTAAATACAGTCACTGATACACAACGATGTCTGTCTGTGTCTCTACAGCTTCTATTACTAACTTCACCACGTTTCCAACTGTTGGACAGAATCTTACATACTGGTGTCAATATCCAAATTATATCTGATAAACAAATTCATCTGTAAGGGAGAAGATCCATCTATATGTCAACCTCTAGTAAGCACCGCACAGCACAACAAGAACACTGGGAAGTTTTCTATGAAGGAGGAACAAGATAAGAGAAATATCACCATAACAGTGAGAGACGTAACAACAGACGACACTGGGACATACTGGTGTGGAGCAGAAACCACTGACAAAACACACAGCAACAAATTCTTCCACAAACTGGTGATGACTGTAGGTGAGTCATTTTTATTGTGTGAATGAAATCTGATCCTGGTTCAGATTGTAGGACGGTAACCGATTGTTGGCCAACTTAACATTCTTCCACAGATTGTTGATGACTGTATGTGAGTTGTCAAATGCTGCTTCCTTACACCGATTCCTAACATACAGCGAGGGATCACAGGTTTCCCAATCAGCACCTTTTACCTCTAATTAAATTAACTACATTACAGTTAACAGTAACATAAAATAGGCACACAAGCTGAAAGCTGACACAACATTGTAATTTAAACCCATGTAAATTATACAAATCCCTCCATCTTTAGATAAATGACATCAGACATCAAATTTCCCCTGTTGGTTTTTCTTAAATACCAAATGTATTCTCTCCTTCTTAGTTTGAATTAAACCTGTTAAATATATTGTTGTTTGCGTGCTTAAAAGCTTAACTTAAATGTAATTGACTGTTTGTTTACAGTGTCACCGGCCGTGTCAACAAATCCCCCTGCAACCTCTTCACCATCTGTAACAAAGCCAGCTGCTGTTTCTTATGGTGGTTTTGGTGAGAAAGCATGTTTGTTCATTTAAACCCTAAGGAATAATGCTTGTATACTAGGCTGAGTGTCTTTAATTGGTCATGGTAAAATACTTCTGACTACAAATATTTAATAGTTTTTTGTTGCTAATACTATAAGTATTGATGCTTTCTTCATTTTGTTAATGTTGGATGTAATTTTGATTTCTTGTTTTCTCGTGTAGATCGGACATCTGTGTTGACGATTGCTGTGGCCCTCTCTTTGGATGTGCTGCTGTTGCTGCTTATGCTCACTACATATTTTGTCTACACACGTAAGAGGTTTTCACTGGTTTTAATATCATCAAACATCTCCAAAAACACATTTGGTGGCTACTTTTTGATCAAAACATTTAGATCACTTTAATGGCAGACATGTAAGTATATTTGTCTGTGGATCAACTAACATCTCAACTGACAAATTTTGGTCGAGACTTTTTATGTAGTTGATCCTTCACAGAATCTGATGGGTCACAAATTTAGCATAGCAATATAGGACAGAGAAGAAAGTAGAACACCAGCGGTGAAAACATATGCCTCCTCACTACTAGAAATGAATGGGGAACATAATTTGGTACAGCTTAAGATTGAATTTAATTGAGTTTTAATTGTTTGTACAAATTTGTTCAAACCTTATTTTTTGGCAAACTCACAGCCCTATCATGTGTAGTCGATTTCATGATTCCATCATAGTTTCAGGCAGACAGAGACCAACTGTGCCTGCTTTTAGTCTACTCCAATACAGTTACATTTCTTACACTAATTAGGCCGTTCAAAGACAAACCATACTCCACAACATGATATTTTACTATGCTCCAACTTTTGTTTCTTAAACTAGCACTTCAGGTAATGTGCTATGGAGGATGATTTAACCAAGAAATAAAAGGGGAAAATTGCGACAATTTTTTTTTATATTATAGCATTAAAGATAATCAGGCCATACATGTTATTAAAAACTGAAAAATGAACTGGAATATTGAAATGACAAATTGATGTTGTTATTTAAATTGAAAAGTCCTGAAATAGAAAACTGAAATGCTTAAATCTTAATGCTTAAATTAAAACCTTAAAGGCAAACACTTCAATTGAAATGTTAATTGGAAATAAAACAATTTTAAAGTAAATTTCAGGTTTCACCTGTGCTTTTTAGGATACTCAAAGACACTTTACAATAAAACCAGTACATTAAGCACATAAAAAAATAGTTACATAATATACATCAATGCAGGGAAGAGCATAAAACTAACAGCAGGTGAAATTTAACATTGTTAAGAGGCTGAAGGCTAATCTAAAGAGGTAGGTTTTGATAAGTGATCTGAATGTGTCCAGGTCAGTACAATGGATCTGTATGGGTAGGAAGTTCCAAAGGGAGGGGAGCTGTGGGGTGTGAAAAGCTCCCAGTCACCCCAGGTACGGTGCTTGGTCCTGAGTGGTGAGGAGAGGAGGTTTATGTTAGAGGAGCAGAGGTTTCGGGAGGGATTGTGGTGGTGGAGCAGGTCTGTGAGGTAGGAAGAGGCCTGGTTATGGAGGGTTTTATGGGTGAGGAGGAGGATTTTAAACTGAATGCGCTGGGAAACAGGGAGCCGGTGGGGATTCTGGAGGATGCAGGTGTGAATGAGAAGGCGGGCAGCAGAGTTTTGGATGTATTGAAGTTTATATAGGGCTTTGGCAGATGAACCATAAAGGATGCTATTGGAAAAGTCCATTCTGGATGTAATGAATGTAGGGATCAGAGTGTCAGCAGCAGAGAAGTTGAGTGATGGGCAGAGACTTTAATAAGTTTAACATTTCCCGTTTTCATTTAAGTACTGGGGGAAAAAAATCCTCTATAATGTGACAACGTTTTAGGAATACTTAAATGAAGACAATTCTGCACATGTATTACTGCTTATTCATTTTACTACTATAACATTTTGTTCTCTTCCCTTTCTCTCTTTGTCTGACAGGATTTGCAGGTTTTAAGAATACAAGGACAGAAGCATGAAGAAAATCAAAGAGAAGGAAAAGAAGTGCACTAGTTTACTTATGCTAGATTTCAAAAGAAGCCCTTTATAATATTCCTGTAATATCCCACATATATTCTGTAATTTAGCCCAACTACTAATGTCACCATAACAGTTTAAAATATTAAATTGATATTTCTCTTTAATTAATATTGTTTAACTTATAACTAAATCATTTTATCCACATTTATCATTTAATAGTCTAACGTGAGCGGACACATTCTACCTGCAGCAGCTAACTGTGAACTGAGATCAATGACTGATCTCGTGGCATTTGCAAAGAAAAAAACCGCGAGACCAGGAAATAGTGTGGCTCCAACTTGGTGCAGTCGGAGAAAAGCAGCTGCGGCCGCCGGATTCAGCGCATGCAAACGCCTTGCTCCCACGAGGTTTTTACTGTCATATGACATGGTGGGGCTTTGCAGCGCCGGCAAAAGTTGGACACAATTTCTAACCAGCATGCCTTTTTTTTAAGTCCAGCATGCATCACTTTAAGTCATTACGTTTATTATGTCACTTATTATAAATAGCCATAAAGTTGTACTCCTGTGGTGGCAGGAAAGCAACTTAGCTGCCTTTCATCTGAGTTCCAGTGTGAAACAAGACTGATTTGTTTTTTTTAATACAGTGAATTAACACTACTTTAGGATATGCCTATATGAGTCGTATTTGGAGGTTGGTAAAAACAAACTATGTTGTCCTTGAGGTTGGAGGACTTGACAAAACATTCCCTATAAAGTATTATATTGTTACCACATGAGCTAATGATCAGAAACCCACTGTAGACCACAACGGGAAATGTGTTACTGTATGATATAATGTATATGGGAATGTTTTAAAACTTTAACTATTTATACAATATTGATAATAGCTATTGTTCTTTTAAATTTTTTTTACAGAAAATCTGTTACTCAGACCTGTTTGTATTTTAACTTACAGTGTTGAGCACATTTTGAATGGAGAGTTCTCCAGACTCAGAAAATAAGATGAACCCTAGAACTCGATTTATGCCAACTTTCCCACAAACCCCTCTGCCTCGCTGCATTACTCCAGCATCAACTTCCAAACAGCTCTGACAGAGTTGGTGGTGAGGCAGTGATCCTCAAACCCAGCTCTGCTGCCTGAAAATATTCTACTCTGAAGCAAAATCCAGCCTACTGTACAGTCAGCCAGCCGTCCAGCTCTTCAGAGGATCCTCTCTACACAACAGTCAACAAGCCACAGCAGCACTGAGCAAAGATCAGCCCTGTCAATTTATGACATTTACTACATGTATGGTCAAAATTTCAGGTCATTCATTGCTGATGTGGTTGTTTACAATGAATCCAGCTCAGACTTCAGGAACTTCACCAAGATATTCAGATGTTGGACGCTGTCAACTTAAATCCTATCAATCCAGAGACACACGATTCACTTCATCATCCACATTGTTTGAGTCACCAAGGTTTGAACAGGACTTTTGCACCAATCTGTAATTACTAGAGGAGTCTTTCTTGTCTTGCTTCTGAAGCTCAGCTTTATACAGCTGATTATTATCTCATTACCTGATTTAACTTATCACAGATACTGTATATTGTTGACCTGGTCTGAATGAGAGTCCCAGAAATAAAAGAAAATCCTTTCCCTGCAATTCAGTGATATTTTTGTGTGAAAACTTGCACATTGAGAACATATTTGAGAAAATATTTTTGACGACTACATTGACCATTTGAATTCACATTTAATTTCCAGATAAAGTGGCTATTCCTCTTTTTGTTTTGCTCAGTTATTTACTCATTTAGTGACGTTAAACACACCAACTAGACAACTGCACTGGGATCAAATCATTATTTTACATTGCCTTGATGGCTGAGGCGGTGATGGTGCAGTGGATAAGATAAGAGACCTGGGTTCAATCCCCCACTGTGACCCCTCCACTGATGTGTCCCTGAGCAAGACACTTAACTCCTAGTTGTTCCAGAGGCGTGCAACCTCTGACATAAAAAGCTTTGGATAAAAGCGACTTAATTTAAAGAAACTCTTTTAAAACTGGTAGTTTGAGTTATTATATATATTTCATAGTTTTATGTACAAGAAAACAATCATTAAAATGTTGCTTATTATTTACAACACCAGTGTAACAGCCTCCTCATTTAATCTTATTAATTTCACTGTATGCAGGATTTATTTAATTTTTTTACTTTAGTGTCATCTAGTGGTAAAATTAAGACTGACATTGTGTCCCAGTTTGCTCCTCAGTCTCTGATTCGCCCTCTGTATTGGTGTTGCTCTTTGCCCTTTCTCTAACTCCCTAGCGCTGCCATCCTCAAGCTCACTGTGTGAAAGTTAATTTAATAATGTCAGTTATAATGTAATAATGTCAATATATTTAGAAATACAGTGGTGAAATTACAATGTTCTGAAGTTGAGCATGTCAGTCATGTTGATTGTTTATTGTTGTTGTTGGAGCTATATTCTTATTTTTGTTTATTTTGGGCTTAAGTTAATTTAAGCCTAATTTATTTATTTTCTTGTTAAAGTTAATTTGGTTTATTTTGTATTTATGCTTTACTTGTATTGTCGTTTGTTGGTCACATGGTGTTATGTTCATTTGCATAAGTAGGTCAAGGTGGGAGGTGCTGCAGGCACGAGGGCATATGTTTTTTTTTATCAGCAGTGAGAGAGGCAGCAGAAATGTCTATGAGCTTGCTTATGTGTGTGAATAAACCTCCTCAAACTCAATCTTCTTATGGACATCACTTTGCTTTGGTACCTCTGAACCTGCGTAAAGCCTAACCATGACGTAGCCTCAAGTGGCCATTTGAGAAGTTTGTTATTATTTGTTTTTGTTTAAGTTTATGGACAAATAGCCACTACATTAAGTAAAAAACATATCGTTGGTTTGCGTGGATACTGGACTTGGTTTACCGTTTCGAAAGTGGATTACTCACCTGGATGTGGGAGACAAACAAAGGAAAGGGCCTAGGAGTGACGGAGCCAGGGGGCTGGATGCAGTGCAAACATCGAATAATACGACCCACCCGACGATGTAAAATTTCCCTGGACACCGTATTAGATAACGGTGAAGCTACTGGAGCGCTGGAGCTGCACTACGGAGTGGAGGATATTATTTGCTGCAATTTGAATTCGCAAAGGCCCAAAGCCTTCACAGGTGATGCCCACAGCCGCGCGCAACAACAGCTACTGCCTGCATTCAATTCCGTGCACGAAGGCAACCACCGCAACAAACAAAGTTCCACAAGGTATGTGCTTTATTCAATCTTTGCAAGCAACTGTGTGTGTACATGACCGACATCAACAAAGGGTAAAATGTCTGACGTTGCATCTAAAGCCACAAGCGACACGGCGCTTCCTACAAGAAGACGCACAAGTTTTACTGCTAAAGGAATGATGTTTTTATGCAAACGTGTCAGGAAAAGAGATCGGTGCAATGCAGACGAGCCAAATCGTACATGAATCAGATGGATAAGTTGATGCATTCTGCAGACAATATTGATGCAGTCAAGTCTCTTTTGGATCAAATAATAATATGTGTTGATGAAGCAAAACAACATCATTTGTCATTTGTGTCACTGGACATACCTCAGGAGGAGAAGGAGAAACAAGATAAATATTTTGAACAAAAGGAAAAGTGTTTTTCAAACAGGCCATTCATATGAACTTCCAATTAAACCACCTGATAATCCAACTGATATTGGGCCTGAGGACAGTGTATCCAATAAAGGTTCTGAAACGCGTTCAAAGGCTGGTTCTAAACTGTCAAAGACTTCATCCAGTGCATCTGCAAAAATATTAGTGCAAGCGGGAAGAGCAGCGTTACAGGAACGCATGGCTGCTCTAAAACAAAGGCATATTTTGGAGGATCAGGAGGAACAAATACAACTTGAACAAGAGGACTTACGGAAGAAACGGGAACATTTAAGGAGAGAAAAGGAACAACTTGCTCTGGAGGCAGAATTAAAGGTGACAAATGCAAAATTGGAGGTTGTGGAAGTAAGCTCAAAGTGTGGTTCTAAAGTGTCAAGATGTGCATCTCAAACATCAGATGGCATGAATTCTTACTTGAAAAGGTCAGAAACTCAAGGACATATGAACTAAATCCGAATGCTGAAGGCTATGTGCCCACCAATAAAAGCTCTGAACCTACCTCCAGTCGCTTGTTAAATTCTGTCCCTGTTGGTGTTCAACCCAAACATGTTGTAAAACAACTACCCATCCTAATGTCATTCCTGTGTTTCAAAGGCAAGATACACAATCACTGGGTTTGCAAGATGTTTGTGACGATAATCCATCCATCAATTCTCCGGACATTTTGAACATCATGCAGCGTCAAAATGAAATAACTGCGCTGTTGGTCCAACAAAACACAGCCTCTGCTCTGCCTATGAGAAATATACCTGTATTTGATGGAGATCCCCTGTATTTCAAATCTTTTCTCAGAGCCTTTGAAAATTGCATTGAGGATAAAACTCAAAATTTCAGTGATTGTCTGTACTTCCTAGAACAGTACACTAGAGGGCAACCAAGAGACATTGTGAGAAGTTGTCAGCATATGCCCTCTGAACCAGGTTATCAAAGAGCAAAAACGCTTTTGATTGAACATTTTGGCAGTGAACATAAAATATCTTCGGCTTACATGGACAAAATCAACAACTGGCCCTCAATAAAACCTGAGGATGTTAATGTTTTGCAGTCATTTGCTTTGTTCCTTCGAGGTTGCTCCAATATAGTACATCATGTAAAGTATATGAAGGAGTTGGACATGCCAGCTAACCTCAGGACGATCCTAATGAAACTCCCATATAAGCTGAGGGAAAAGTGGAGAAATGTGGCATGTGATATTGGAACAAACTGGAAGCAGAGCAGTGTTTGTTGATTTTGTGAATTTCATTGAAAAACAAGTCAAAATTGTTTCAGATCCTCTGTTTGGAAATATTAATAATGTTTCTCCAGCCAGCTATGCAAAGCTATCCATGCAAGTTAAGCAGAAAAGGAAAAGTGGTACATTTGCCACCAGCATTAATGCACCAAAGGATGGACATAAAGAAATGGAAAACTTGACAGCTCACAGTAAGCAGCTCAAATGTATATTCTGCTATCTTACCAATCACACTCTGGAAAAATGCTTTCAGTTTAGAAGAAAGACACAACAGGACAAGATTCAGTTTCTAAAGGAGAAGGGCGTTTGTTTTGGGTGCTTGAAACATGGACACACAAGCAAAGACTGCAGGAGTCGTTTGGATTGTGAAGTGTGTCACAGGAAGCACCCATCTGTCCTGCATGTGGAGAAGGAGGATACTACAAGGATAACCTCCAAAGAAACTGTGAGCACTGTATCCGGGAAGCAGCAGACGTGTGGTCATATTGGGGCTGGTGAAGAGGATACTGCTGTTTTTTCCATTGTGGCTGTGCAGGTGAAAAGTCAGAAAAGTAATAAAGTTGTGCACACTTATGCTTTCCTGGATCCTGGGAGCTCTGGTACCTTCTGTACTACAAGTATGGCTGAAAGGCTGGGAGTATCAGGAAAAACTGTAATGTAGTGTTAAGGACAATGGGGCAGACTAAAACCATCAACACTACTATAGTAACCGGTCTGGAGGTGTCTGGATTTGACACCGATGACTTTATTGAGCTGCCATCTGTTCTGACACAAACAAAAATGCCTGTACCTAAAGTCAATGTGCCATGTCAGGATGATGTTGCCAAATGGGCGTATTTGAGCAGCATCAGGCTACATGAAGTAGATGTAGACTTTCTCATTGGAACCGACTCTCCTAAAGTTTTGGAGCCATGGGAACTGATAAACAGTCAATGTGGTGGACCGTATGCAGTAAGGACCAGAGTTGGCTGGGTCATAAATGGGCCTCTTCGTGCTGGAGACTCTGAAGGTACTGGTGTCAAATCAGGATGCATTGTTGTAACTGCTAATCACATATCTGTGGAACACTTGGAAAGTATGTTGATACAACAGTATAATCATGACTTTACTGAAAGAACAAGTGATGAACAACTTGAGATGTCAAGAGAAGACATTAAATTCATGAAAATTGTGGAGAGTACGACAGTGCTTAACAATGAACATTATCACATTGACTTACCTTTCAGAGTTGATGATCCTGTTTTGCCAAATATCGCTGCATTGCACTACAAAGACTCCAAGGCCTGAAGAGGAGATTTAATAGAGACATTTCATTCAAGGCTCAATACGTTGATTTCCTTAACAACATGTTGAGCAAGGATATGCAGAAAAGGTTCCCACAAATGAGCCCACTCTGGAACAAGGAAAGGTGTGGTACATTCCCCACCATGGTGTACGTCATCCAACCAAAGGAAAGTTGCGTGTTGTGTTTGATTGCGGCTGTACTTACAAAGGTATATCATTGAACAGTCAGCTCCTGCAGGGCCCAGACTTCACTAACACGCTAATTGGTGTCCTCCTTCGGTTTAGAGAAGAGCCC